ATCTATATAACCCCTATGAGTGTAAAAAACAGTAAAGAGACTTGTTTTTTTCTAATAAGATGCAGTGTATGATTTAGGACACTATAATTCTTTACCAAAGAGAAGAACAAACTAGGGTTTTCTTATGTTAGCACTTGAGATAACTAGTCTTCTTTTAATCCCAAAGATGCAAGTATTGTTAGGGGAGTTTTACTGTTAGACTATGGGTTTCAAACAAAAGTTGCAAATCAAAGCTACATATCAAAGAGGCATGCTTCTTTGAGATATTAATCACTAAACCTTTCTTAAGCATCAATGAATTCATAAGGATTCTAGGTAGGTTGAAAAAGAAAATTTTTAACTTTTGCATATGCTCGGCCCTCTTAAATGATGAGGTTTTGTTTGTTTGTACATTCTAGGTTCTATTAGGAGTACTTTTTATGATGGTATCAACGATCTACTAGCTTTTAATTTAAGGGGTGTTCTTGGTTTGTAGTTGCTAATATGGTTCCTTACTTTTCTCCCTTTAGGTTCTTTTTTTCTTTTTCTTTTTGCATTTTTATATCTATTAGGGAATACAAAGTTATGATCCATTTACATATAACTTTGACATATATTACTCACAAAATCTTAATCACTCATCCCTCCACCATGAATGGTTGAGAGTTATCACAGTTTTATAGATGAGAAAGAAAATTATCTTCAAAAATAAGATAAAAAGTGGATAAATCTCAATAGATCATTATGGCAAGTTAAAAGGTCTAAATCTTGTGTGAGTAACATGTGAAAAAATTGTGTATAAATGAATCTTAACTCACGAATAAATATATAGTGATGAGGAAGAATTGGGGATTTGTTCTCATCAACAAGAAAAGTAAGCTCCTTTTATCTTAAGTGGTTATCTTTTTGTACTTAATGCTGTGGAGACTGACAAAATATATGGTCTATCTGTAGGTTTAGGTCTTTTAATTGTAGGTCTTTTATATTTTAATGAATGTAAAATTTTATTCTACTTTCTCTCTATTGTTATTCCTTAATTTAAATTATTCATTCTATTACAAAAAGCTTCTCTTTATTTTTTATCTTTTCTAAGGATAATATAGGTAAACCTCACAAAAATATGTTGTGCAATTTGAACTTCATAATTTAGGCCATTCAATAAGGTGGATCCATTGATATTAGAGGTTACTTGCCTATCTGATGATTCTTATCTTGTAATTAGACCTGGCAAACGAGCGGGTTGGGTTAGGTTGGGTTAGGGTCGGGTCAAAATAGGTAACGAGTCAAAACGGGTTAGGTTAAAATGGGTCACAAGTCAATAAAAGCTAACTCTAACCCGCCATCATGGGTCACAAGTCAACCCACGGGTTAACCCAATTAAATTTTTTTTCTTTTTTTTCTCTATAATTTGTACCTATTATTTTCAAAGAAAATTATTCAAAAGATTTAAAAATGAAATTCAGTATCTTATAAAAATAATTTTTTTCCCATTAATTTAAAACATATTTATAGTTCCTCAAAATCACCTTCTCCACTTCCCTTCAAAGAATAGTGCTAATCAAATTCGAGAATACCACACACTTATAACTCTCAAGAGCAAAAAAAAAAAAAAAAAAAACAAAACAAAACAAAACAAAAGCAGTAGTAGCATGACAACCAAAAAACACAAACCCCATTGAAACATATTTGTTCTGATCATTACTTTCAAAGAATCAATCAATTGAATTCACCTAAGTAAGCCAAGGAGAATATTACGTAGAATTTTTACTTGGAATGAAAATAAAACTAAAAAGCATAAATAAGTAAACAACTTACCTTGAAGGCTTTAGAGAGAAAAGTAGGTGACAAAGAGAGCACTTGTCGGACTTGAAAGAGAAAGAAAGAATGGGCTGAGTTGACACAACGGTAACTCAATGAGACTAAGATCTAAGTTTGAGATAATGTTAAAGACTAAAGAGAAAATGTGGAGTCAAAACTTGAAAGTCAAAGGTTGTATGGACCATAGAGGTTGAAGAATATGAGAAAAGTTTGAACTTTGAAGAGTTAGAGTCTTAGAGAATATTAGGGCAAACAAGAATAGGAAAGGTCGAGAGGTGAGTCATAAGTTGAGTGGATTATTTTTACTTCTAGAAGATGATGAGTTAAGAGAATCAATGAGCTAATTAGGAAAAATTAGTCAATTATTAGAGGTTTGGGTGGAATTGAGAATTGGAAAACAAAACAAATAAATAATAAATTAAAAATTTTTTAATTTTTAAATGGGTAAACGGGTCAAACCCACTAACCTTGTGGGTCAACCTGTTATTGACCCATGACCTGTTGGGTTCTCTCAATGGGTCATTAATGGGTCATGGGTCATAAACATTTGACCCTAACCCATTTTAAATGGGTGAGTAATGGGCAGATTAGCGAGTTGGGTAAAAAATTACTAAGTCTACTTGCAGTCTAAAAATTATGCATATTAAATTTTCAAGTTGATCTAATAACTATAACAATTTGATTAAATAAACTATATTTTCTATCATACATCAAAACATATAAACATTTTTTGATATATCAGTGATATAGTTAAACATATTTAATCAATATGAAATTTAATGTGTATGATCTATATGAATAAATAGTAAATCCAACAATTGGTTTTTCAAATTATTAATTACACTAAAAAGTATTGATGAGTTGGCTCTACTCTACTAGTGTTTCCTTGGCTTCTTTGTGTGAGTCTCTTGCTTTGGCATTTCTCCTTAGTTTTGTAGGGTTTTCTTTTCTTTTTTACATTGGTTTGCGCTAATCCTCCCTTTTTTTTCCTTCATCTAACTCATCTCTTTGCATGGAAGTCTTCTCTATTTTCTCTTGTTTTTCCCTACAATGAAGTTCCTCTGTTTCAATTAAGGTTGAGGACCTTAGTTTTCAAGGGCATTCTTATAGAAAAAGAGGGTTAAAGTTTAAGTGTGATGGTTGTAAAGAAGGATTAGGGTTGTTATGTAATGGCTTTGATAAGTAAGGGATGCATAAAAAGGTTTAGATGATGTTAAGGGGATGATTTTCGATTGTAGGGTGTAGATTGAGAAGTATAACAGGATCAGGATTGATAGTACAAAAGTCTATTTCCATCCTAAGGCAAGTTTAACCTATAAAACAAGGTAGGTGGCAAAATGGTCTACGAGGGTTTTATTCCTCCTCCCTAGGATAGCTTCATTGTTGATGGTAAGGCCTACAATGGGTGTGTAGGGATTGCCATTGGCTTGAAAATATATACTCTCTAAAAGTTGGCATAGTAACTATGATTAGTATCTTAGGAAGCTTGTAATGATGCCCTTAAGGGTGTGTCTTAAGTGGTTAAGAACTTGAGACTCTCGCATTGGAGTTCTCAAGTTCGAAACTTAAGACAAGTGGGATTAAGGGAAGGGAAGGGCTATCCCTTATTGTATAGCCTATTATTTGATGTACCAATAAAAAGGAAGCTTGTAATGGTAATCTTTTGATGTAGGTGAATTTTTTATTACCTCTACGACTATCTCCTAGATTTGTTGTAATAGACAAGTCCTTTTCACTTAATTGTTCAGATTTGTTACTAAGTTTATCTTCAATGATTGATGTCGTAGTTAGCTCTTCATTTGCCAATGTGGCCATGAGTATAGGGATTCCCTATGTGCTCTTTCTTTTCTATTATTGAATTCCATTATCTTCAATATATATATATATATATATATTAACAAGTTCTCTAGCTCCTCTTTACCAAAAAAACCCTTAGCTCATCTTTCTTCTCGTTCTTAGGTGGCAAACTTCCTAGGATCTTCTTAGGTATGCTATATCGTTCTAGGATTTATGTAGATTTTCATTGAATTTCTTTATTCTCCTTAGGTTTTTAATGGAGGTTTCACTGTAACTGATTGGTTACCAAGGTGTTGTCATGCTTGATATTTTGAGGGATTGCATAAGAGTTGAGGTTTCATATTTTTTATTGTTTTATTATATTATGTAAAAATCTATTAGTAAGAGCTTTGTTGAGTTTCTATTAATTTAAAATTCTTGATTTATAATCATTATAAGAGATTTAAATCTAAGTATTGTCAAATAATTAATTCTTTAATATAAAAAAATTACATAAAGATATTATAATGATGAAATCAAGTGGAATTTGATACCAACACAAATGATCCATTTTCCCTTTTGAAATCTTTTTACGTAAATTACAAAAGATTTATATTATAAATATAATTCTTATTTCTCTATAAAAAAAACCTATGGATGAGTTCCTAATTCTTATTTACACATGCAAGTTGATCCTAATTCACTAAATATTTAAATTGGTGTTTTATTATGTCATGTATGCCATAAACACCTCTATCACAAGCCCTACCCCATCTTATAGTCCCATAGTTAAATTATAAAACAAAACATTTAAATAAAAATACAAAAAATGCATTTTTCAAATAAATTATGCTTTTAATTTTAATACTTGGCGCGAATTGAAATACACATAACTCTTTTTTTTTTTTTGAATAATTTGTAATTATTTATCAGGTTAATTGAGGAAGGAGAAAAAGGCATTTCGTGAAACTCGAACGTGCAACTCACTGGAGGTGGATAACCCTCAGGAGCGGGCTGTTCGAAATACACATAACTCTTGGAAATAATAATGACAACACTTCACCCCCGATTATGGGGCAGTTATTTCACATTGACCCCGTGTGCATGAATCGTAAAGTATACATGGGATTCCAAGCAATTTCAAACTAATCAGTTTTGGAACTGTACTATGTTCCATCACTGTATCCATATAAGTGTTTCAAAAAGGACAAACCCCGTTAAATGGGCGCTCACCCCCGATTATAAGGCAGTTGTCCCACATGACTCTATGTGCATAAATTATAAGGTATATATGGATTCCAGATAATTTCAAACTAATCAATTTTAAAATTGTGCTGTGTTATGTCAGTATTTCACAAAAAAAAAAATAATGACAACACTTGGCATTTTCCATCTGCTATAAATGGAGAACTCGTGAAGGGGCTCGTCAGTTTTCGTTTCCTTCTCTACTCTGTCTCGTGATTTGATCCCATTTAGTCTACTCACTTTCTCGTGTAGAGATCATAAGGTACCCATTTTTCTGCGATTTACTCATCTGGGTATCACGGGATTCACTTTCTTTAGCCAAATCTACTTCTTTCTAGAAATTGAGTTTGCTTCTCTTTTTCTTTTTTCTCATCTGGGTTCGATTCAATATGTTATGTATTATAATTTCTTCCATCTCACTTGATTGTTTCTGCTAAAGTAAATTTCATTTCTTTTTGGATTTGACTGTGAGCTGCCTGAGAGCAGAGTGCCCAGAAATTTGGAAGAATGGCAGCCAGGAATTTGGAGAAGATGGCCTCGATAGACGCTCAGTTGAGGTTACTGGCACCGGGTAAAGTCTCAGAGGATGATAAGTTGGTTGAGTATGATGCTTTGTTGTTAGATCGGTTTCTTGATATTCTTCAAGACTTACACGGAGAGGATATTAGAGAAACGGTACTGATTGATTATTTCTATTATTTGATTTTAATATTTTATAATTTTCATTCTGTAAATAGTTTGCAATTCCCTCTAGTTTTAATATTACATGTCTTAGGTTCTTTGTCTTAAATTTGGAAGTTATTGTCTGAAATTTCCTGATAATAGTGGATACAATTGTTATAGGTACAAGAATGTTATGAGCTTTCAGCTGAGTATGAAGGGAATCATAATCCTAAAAAGTTGGAGGAACTTGGGAATGTGCTGACAAGTTTGGATCCAGGGGATTCGATTGTTGTCACGAAAGCATTTTCCAACATGCTTAACTTAGGCAATTTGGCGGAAGAAGTTCAAATTGCTTATAGGCGAAGGGTCAAATTAAAAAGGGGAAACTTTGCGGATGAGAGTTCGGCATTGACTGAATCGGATATTGAAGAGACCCTGAAGAGACTTGTGGTGCAGCTGAAGAAGTCACCTGAAGAAGTTTTTGATGCCTTGAAGAATCAGACTGTGGATTTGGTCTTGACTGCACATCCTACTCAATCTGTTCGTAGATCTTTACTTCAAAAGCATGCTAGGTTTGTTTGCAGTTACTTTAGTGTTTTTGACTTTTCATAGGCAAAGAAGAAGAAAGATTCTTTAACTTGAAATGCTTGAGATTATTATTATTATTATTATTATTTTGAAATCTCTTCATTTCTTCTGGATTGTGCGTTTTGGTTATCAGTTACTAGTTTGGACTTGAACTTGCTATTTTGCAATCACAGCTAGTTGCCTTCTAGAGGAGGTTTCATGTCCATGTTATGGTATTGTATTGGTATTCAATTACTCATCTTCCTGCTAAATCTTCACAGGATAAGAAATTGTTTGACTCAGCTGTATGCGAAGGACATCACTCCAGATGATAAGCAGGAACTTGATGAGGCACTACAAAGAGAAGTATGGAACAGAAATAAGTTTATTTCCCCTCTGTTACCTGTAGATACTTTTAAGATTGCTTAACATGTTGTCTGCATGCCCAGTGTAGCAATGATCTGAAAAACTTCTGATAATTGTTATGATTATGAATATTGACTAAATTGATATGATGGGTCAGTTTAGGTTTCCTGTTCTGGTCGTCACCATATCACTTTCAACTGAGTTTTGTTATTTTTGCATGAATCTTTTTTCCTTGACATTTAACAATTCATGGTTATGAACAGCATTATTTATTTCTACGTCTGTCCTTAATTTCATGTAGATCCAAGCTGCTTTTCGTACAGATGAGATCCGAAGGACTCCTCCTACTCCACAGGATGAGATGAGAGCAGGAATGAGTTATTTCCATGAGACAATTTGGAAAGGTGTGCCGAAATTTTTACGACGTGTTGACACTGCTTTGAAGAACATAGGGATCAATGAACGTGTTCCTTATAATGCCCATCTTATTCAATTTTCATCTTGGATGGGAGGTGATCGTGATGGTATGTTTGTTCCCTGCATGCAATATTTACTTGAACGTTAACTTCCCTTTTGTATGTTGCCAAATTAATGATGATAAAAACTGCAGGTATTGATATTATTTATTTAATCTTAAGATAAGTGAAAGGAAGGAATAGAGTCAAAGAAAGAATGGGGTTTATTATTCTTGTAAGAATTTTCAAATGTAGAAATTCTCTTTTTGTTTCATTGTGGACTCAAAAAATAGATGTACCAATTAATAGAAGTTTGCAGTTTCACTTTCACATTAACTACCTAAAGTTTATGTTCCTTTCTTTATGCATGCATAATTAGAGTCTACATATATGCTTAACTAAGAACTTTCAATGAGACTATACCCGTAATATTTTATGTAAAATCTATCTTTTCTAAATTGATATTCATGTGATGTGGAGAGTAGGAAACCCCAGGGTGACTCCTGAAGTTACAAGAGATGTTTGCCTATTGGCTAGAATGATGGCTGCAAACTTATACTTCTCCCAAATAGAAGATCTTATGTTTGAGGTATTAAAGAGATCATTTCCAGCTTCAAAAACACTTTTTGCCTTTTCCAATGTTATTCATGGATTTATTAACATTATTATTCATTTTAATTTTCTGCAATTTTATTTGTAGTTGTCAATGTGGCGTTGCAATGATGAACTCCGTGCACGCACAGAAGAACTGCATAGGTCCTCAAGGAAGGAATATGCGAAGCATTACATAGGTACATGATATGATATGCCTTAGCAGGAAAATATCCCTACTTATGCAATTTGTCAAGGAAAGATAGCCAACCTGTTGAAAACATGTTGCATTAGTTAAATAGAATTGGCTTATTAATTCAACCAAATGTTTAACAGTCCTTTGGTGTTATTTTCATACTGATGTTGCATGGATGCAGAATTCTGGAAAAAAATTTCTCCAAATGAGCCCTATCGTGTTATTCTTGGAGATGTAAGGGACAAGTTATATGGTACACGTGAACGAGCTCGTCAGTTATTAGCAAGTGGGACTTCTGACATTCCTGAGGATGCAACTTTCACCATTGTTGAGCAGGTGATTGATTTTACAAGTGCCTTTAATTTCTTACTTCTCAAATCAATTCCTTTAGTTTTCCTCAAATGACAGAGATAACCATAAATACAGTGGAAATTACAAGTATATCTTTCATGCAATAGTGGTTGCTGGTCATTTTGCTCAATGGCATAAAATTTGTAGATGTTGAATATTGAAAAAAATGATAATAATAAATGAATAAATAAAGCATTTGGCGTCTCGGTCTTTGGTGGACTCCTTATAAAATAAGTTATCCTGCTACTTCTTGCAAACATGTGAATTTATTATGTTAGTTTGTCCTGACCTCTTTCTCTTCCTGCAGTTTCTGGAGCCTCTGGAACTCTGCTATAGATCACTTTGTGCTTGTGGAGATCGATCAATAGCTGATGGAAGCCTTCTTGATTTCTTACGGCAAGTTTCTACATTCGGGCTTTCACTTGTAAGACTTGATATCCGTCAGGAATCTGATAGGCATACTGATGTCCTTGATGCTATCACAAAGCACCTAAATATTGGACGCTATAAAGAATGGTCTGAGGAACGCAAGCAGGAATGGCTCTTATCTGAACTTAGAGGGAAGCGCCCTCTTTTTGGGCCTGATCTTCCCAAAACAGAGGAAATTGCTGATGTGTTGGACACATTCCATGTTATTGCAGAACTTCCTGCAGATAATTTTGGCGCCTATATTATCTCAATGGCAACAGCTCCATCTGATGTGCTTGCAGTTGAGCTTTTACAACGCGAATGCCATGTGAAGCAACCATTGAGGGTTGTTCCATTATTTGAGAAACTTGCTGATCTTGAAGCAGCTCCTGCTGCTGTAGCCCGTCTCTTCTCTATAGATTGGTACAGAAATCAGATCAATGGAAAGCAAGAAGTAATGATAGGGTATTCTGATTCTGGAAAGGATGCTGGTCGCCTCTCAGCAGCTTGGCAGCTATACAAGGCTCAAGAGGAGCTTGTTAAGGTGGCAAAGCAATATGGCATTAAGCTTACAATGTTTCATGGTCGAGGTGGGACAGTTGGAAGAGGAGGAGGACCAACCCACCTGGCTATCTTGTCTCAACCACCTGAAACAATTCATGGCTCGCTCCGTGTGACAGTTCAAGGTGAAGTTATTGAGCAGTCATTTGGGGAGGAGCACTTGTGCTTTAGAACCCTCCAGCGTTTTACAGCTGCTACCCTGGAGCATGGAATGCATCCTCCTGTCTCACCAAAGCCAGAATGGCGTGCTCTCTTGGATGAAATGGCTGTTATTGCCACAAAAGAATACCGATCTATAGTCTTCCAGGAGCCTCGTTTTGTTGAATATTTTCGCCTGGTAAGTGGAAAACCACTTTGTTAGATACCTTCCTCAGCTTCATGTTGACCCAACCATTTTAAATCTGCAAATTCTTGGAATTTGTCCTTGGCTTCATTTTCTGCTTTCCATCAGCTCTAATGTCAGAAATTGTTTTTTTCCTAACTACCAACGTTTAACTACTATAGTAATAACAGTGCTTGCTTAATCGTAATCATTGTGTGTTTGATTGCTGCAGGCAACACCAGAATTGGAGTATGGTCGAATGAACATTGGCAGTCGTCCTTCGAAAAGAAAGCCAAGTGGAGGTATCGAATCACTCCGTGCAATCCCATGGATCTTCGCATGGACACAGACAAGGTTTCACCTCCCCGTGTGGCTTGGATTTGGGGCCGCATTTAAGCATGTCATAAAGAAGGACATAAAAAATCTCCACCTGCTCCAAGTGATGTACAATAAGTGGCCTTTCTTCAGGGTCACCATTGACTTAATTGAGATGGTGTTTGCAAAGGGAGACCCAGGGATTGCTGCCTTGTACGACAAACTTCTTGTGTCAGAGGAATTATGGTCATTTGGAGAGCGCTTGAGAGCCAACTATGAAGAAACTAAGAGCCTTCTTCTCCAGGTAAGATAATGGGTAATTTAGTGTAGTAATTATATAAGAGCTAATACATATTGAGAGAATAAAGTGGATAACCTTTTTTTGGACTTTAAAAATTTCTGTCCTGCTGCATTTTAGGATTGAATCTGTGAAGGCGTGGAAAAAATAAAAAATAAAAATAAAATATAAATATAAATATAAATAAATAAATAAATAATTGACAAATCTGTTTCTAAGTCCCCCAAATATGTTGAAGAGACCTTATCTATCTGAAGTTGGGAGTTCATTTGGGAGTGGAGGATCTTTAACCAGACTAAATTTTTTGTCCTATCTTTGTAGGTCGCCGGGCATAAAGAAATTCTTGAAGGAGACCCATACCTGAAGCAGAGGCTTCGTCTTCGTGATGCTTACATCACAACCCTTAATGTCTGTCAAGCCTACACTCTGAAGCGCATTCGTGATCCTAATTATCATGTGAAGCTGAGGCCACACTTGTCCAAGGAATATATGGAGATGGAGTCAAGCAAGCCTGCAGCAGAGCTTGTGAAGCTTAACCCCACAAGTGAGTATGCTCCTGGTCTAGAGGACACCCTTATTTTAACCATGAAGGGAATAGCTGCCGGCATGCAAAACACTGGTTAAGACATTATAATATTATCTCCTACTGTTGTTTTACGTATAACAAATGTATAATGTATTATGTGAGATACAGGCTCCAGCTTTATTGGATCTTCGGACTTGGTAATAAATGCCTATAGAATTATGTGTTCCTATAGAGCTTGAAGGGCTAAATTTAATAAATAATCTATTAACTATGTGATTTATTTTAATTTAATCTAAAAATAAATTTTTTTTCCTGAATAATCTATAAACTATCAATTTTATGGTCTACTTGACAAGCATGCCGTTAACTAGACTAACGGAGTTCTTTTTCGCTATTGACATGTGCCCCCTAAACTTTTGAAATATATTATATATTTTTATTTTTTACAACATTTTATTTTTGAAGTTTAAATTTTATATCAAATGTAATAATTAATTAAAATAATAATTTTAATTTACATTGATCAAGATTTCAATTTTAATTTACAATAATCAATATTATAATTTAAATTTTATTATTTCTTAAAAAATTTAATGCCATTATTAAATTACATATTGTTTCACTAATTTGTATAAAAAAATAAAAAAAATTATTTTTATTTTTAACACTAATAATATTTGCATGATTTTAATTTGGGGATTTATAAAACTAAAATGAATTTTTATTTTTTCAAGGAATTTTAATTATGTGTGGGTGGTCATTTAATTAAATTAAATTTTGGAAATTTTTATTTATTAAAAATATTAATATTTAATAATAAATTAATTTTTTTAGAAATAATAAATTTTAAATTATAATATTGATTATTGTAAATTAAAATTAGAATCTTAATTAATGTAAATTGAAATTTCATCTTAGTTAATTATTACATTTGACAAAAAATTTAAACTTCAAAAATAAAATGTTACAAAAAAAAAACAAAAATATATATACTATATTTAATATTTTTCAAAAGTTTAGGGGGCACACATAATAGTTGCCATTAGTCTAGTTAATGGAGTGTTTGTTAAGTAAACTATTTTGAAACAAAATTGATAATTTATAGATCATTTTGGAAAAAAAAAAATTGTTTCTAGATTAAATTGAAATAAACCATGTAGTTAATAGATTATTTATTGAATTTAGCCGAGGTTGAAGTTTTGAACTTCCTCTTATGGGAAAACATGTCCAACCTTGTCCATGTTGACTGATTGTAATTTTAAGAAAGAAACCCTTTGATATATGTTTTCTGAGTGACTACATACAAGTATAATTTGATTTAGAATTGTTGTGAAATAAGAAAATAGTTAGTAGAAGAAGAATTAAAGAGATACAAAGAGAGATAGAGAGACCATAAAGAGCCTTACTCTTTTTCTTTCTCCCATGTCATTTTCATATAAGTTACAAGCCTATATATTACAAGTTACAAGCGATATATATAAACTAGAAGAACGATAAGATTTAGTTAACTACCCACTAAATAGGAATTTGCCACCAGTGGGTAGTTAATCACTATTACTTAGGAGGAAATGTGGGTAGTTAATCACTATTACTTGGTCTATAATTGCATTGAAAATTTAATTGGAAAGTAAGTTAGTGGAAGATGAACAAGGAGAAACATCTACCATAAATTATTTCATAACTCTCTAAAAGTTCTAATTACGTTTGATAATTAGCAATAATATTTTTTAAAGTTATAATTAGAAACAATTTTATATCTATATTGTGTATTTTTTTAATTATTTTTATGATAAAATTATTTTATAGATAGGAGTATCCCTTGTACTCCATTTAAATTTAAAAAAATGAGGTTAAAAAAATGATAAAGTTATTTTAAAGAAATGTAAAATATAAGTTGTACTTGTTAATTAGATTAGAGGATAAAGTGTCCAAATTGTTTTATATTATGTATTAGAAAATATGTTTTTGAATTGGTTAAAACACCAATTTGATCCCTTTACTTTTGTAGAAAGCTCATTTTTAATCCCTCTACTTAAAAAAAAAAACCCTTTTGGGTTCATAAAATTTGAAATCTGACCTCTTTTTAATCCCTTAATTAAGTTTTGACATTACATAAATTTCAAAGGAGAGGGACAAAAAGGGGCTTTTTTCAAAATAGAGGGACCAAATTGGTCCTATTTTTAGCCTCTATTTACCCCCTTTTTTCTCCCTCTATTTTGAAATTTCTATTATCTAATGTATCACATATGAAAAACTTAATGGAAGGACTAAAAAGATGTTAGATTTCAAATTTTAATAATCAAAATGGGGCTTTTTTTAGTATAAGAACTAAAAAGAGGCTTTCTACCAAAATAAAGTGATCAAAATGGGGATTTAACCTTTTGAATTGGCTAAATTTAATAAATAGTCTATTAATTATGTGATTTATTTTAATTTAGTCTAAAAACAATTTTTTCTTTCTAAATGATCTATAAACTATCAATTTTGTTTCAAAATGGTCTACTTAATAAGCATGCCGTTTACTAGACTAACGTAGTTCTCTTTTGCTATTGACATGTGCCCACTAAACTTTTGAAAAATGTTAAATACAATACATATATTTTTGTTTTTTACAACATTTTATTTTTGAAGTTTAAATTCTATATCAAATGTAATAATTAATTAAAATAATAATTTTAATTTACATTGATCAAGATTCTAATTTTAATTTATAATAATCAATATTATAATTTAAATTTTATTCTTTCTTAAAAAACTTGATGTCAT